ATACAGATGCAAACTAGAGAACATTTCTGAGCTTTAAATACTATCGTTCATAGTCTAAAGAGGTTTTACTACATTTGTATTCAGTCCTGAAGCTACTTTTTGCTGCAACTTTTTTTGGTCAAATTTTTTTCTTTTTTTTTGTTTAGAATATGTTGTCAGTCTATTCCCAGCAAAAAATTAATAAAAAAAAAAAACTTTCTTTAAAACCTCTTGCTATTTCCTGCATACTTAATGAATGGGTGAGCCAAAGTCTCCATCAGCTCCAACAGGCTGCACTTCAGACCCCCCCCTGCTCTAACTGGTTTTCTTCCATCAATGCCCTCTGTTTAGCTCAATCCATTTTCCCAGAAAATCTGATCCAGTTTCCTGTTCTTAAGATTTGGATCCCCAAAGCATAAGGCTGCCATCACCATGACTAATGGGATGCTGTGGTCGGGATGCTGTCTAATCTGCAACATTAACTAAAAAAGGACCCACTTCCATGTGTTTGTTGCTCTTCTTTCCACACTTTCACAAAGGTCCGATTTCTGTAAATTCTCTCGTGAAAATAAGAAGCCTCTCGGCTGCCTTTCTGGTGGACGGTGAATATTTTTCTTCTCAGTAAACCTGAAATAATTTTTCTGGAAAAACCTGCCTGTCTGCACCAGCAACAATGCAGCATTTATAGTTTTTCCCTCCTTTGAGTTTTCCTAATAAAGAGGCTGGTGAGTCCATGATGGTGTATAGAGGATGCTGTTCCTGTCCTTTTTTAAATGTTCTGTCTTTTTTGTATGCAGATAAAATGTGCGACCAGATCAGTGATGCTGTGCTTGATGCATTTCTCAGTCAGGACCCTGACTCCAAAGTGGCCTGTGGTGAGTGTGAACATCAGGGATTTTATACACGTGTTAAAAAAATTGAAATGATCTCAATTTATGACATGAGTAACATGAACATCTAAAGAAACAGTTGGAGTTTAGACTGTTACGGTAATAAAAGATAAAAGAAATTTGATAACTGCTTGTGTAAACAATGAATAATTAAACTGGGTTTGCCCTGTAGATTAAAGCGTAGTGCACTGTTATCTTGCTAGCAAGTCATCGAAAATCTTTGTATTGAGGTTTCGAACTGTAATTATTATTGAATCAAATGTGTTTGATGAAAAAGGCTAACCTTGGAAAATCTGTCACATGAAACAGAGGTAAAAATGTAAGTGTATGATCCATAAAGGTTACTTTTTTATGCTTTTATTGTCATTACACCGTCACAAGTACAGAGCAACGAAATTCACTTTCAGCATTTAACCCATCCTCTTGGGGAGCATTGGGCTGCCATCGTGTGGCGCCCGGTGAGCAGTGTGTGGTTAAGGGTCTTTGCCTGGATCTGTGGAGCTTCAGATTGTTCTGGCTAACGTTGTTGGGGTTCCTGTTTCAGAGTGTGTGGCAAAGACAGGCATGATTCTGCTAGTGGGAGAGGTGACATCTAAAGCCATTGTGGATCTCCAGTCCGTGGTTCGAAATACCATCAAGAAGATTGGCTATGATGACTCATCAAAAGGTAGTTTCAGACCTTGATTTATTCCTGCAAATAATTCCTAAAATTTATGGGGAATATGTAAAAAAATGGCTTGGTTTGTCCACAGGTTTCGACTACAAGACCTGCAATGTGCTGGTGGCTCTGGAGCCGCAGGCTGTGGAGATATCAGACTGTGTGTTTGAGGGGAGGGATCAGGAGGACATCGGTGCTGGGGACCAGGTTCACTATTTGATCTTATACAGTTATTTTAGTAAAGAAAAGCCAAAAATGCTTGAAATTGGTTCTTAGGCCTGGCTTTCATTTTATGAGTTGCCTGGCTACCTAGGCCAGGTTCACACCATATCTTTTAAAGTCGTATGTAAATAATTTTTAAATATCAAATCATTCTGGCTTATACATGTATATAAATGTACTCTTTATCAGACCAAATTTAGAAAATTTCTATTTAAAATCTGTCAAATATTTTTGGTCATAGCAACTTGATTCATATGTTGCAGCTAATATACGCAACGGTTGAAATAAGAAATAAGAATCCTTTCCTTTCCCATTGAGTTCCGTCCTAGTGTTCACGGGGATGGACGTCTGTGTCTTCAGCAGGCGTAGAGCTAACAGAACTGGCAGCGTTGCGAGGCAAGGGCTCAAACATGTACGGCTGGAAGCCTTCTACACCAAACCAAGCTTCTGCCGCCCTGGCGTCCTCTTCCACAACATCTTCATCCCTGCTTTCCTCCTCTAAATAAAAAATGTATGATGGAGGAGACTCATCCACGACCTCCTTCACTAAACTCTCCTCCTCTTGCATGTTTCCGCTGTCCATAGCGTTCCTTGACAGTGTCGTTTCTAAGTCACAAACTTAGTGCTACTTGGTCCCAATGGAATTTCCCATTGGGAACCTACTAGCACTAAGTTGCTAACTGGTTAGCAACGATGCTTCCGATAAACCGGAGATGATTAAAAAAATATAAACAAACTGGAATTACCAGGTTCAGCATGGCAGGGTCCAATGGAGACTGGGAACCTTAAGGGTTACAGAGAGCAGAGGTACTGATATCCACGATCCAACAGTTTGAAATCCATTTCCAGTCCAGGGTCACAGGGTGCACAGAAGATCACTCAGGCAAAGAAGTTTCCGATATCCAGTGGGCTTAATCAGGGCCAGAGTTAGGCAAGGTTCAGCAACATTCAGGAAAAGAAAACTCAACTCACTCAGAGGTAAGGTCTTGGCAAAGGGAGAGGCATGGTGGATGAACAGGAAAATACTTGGCTCATGAAACAGGGCTTGAAAGCTGTGAAAAGGCAGACGATCTCACACAGAGCAGGGATAGAACAGGAGGTAAAGGCTACGTTCACACTGCAGGTCTTGATGCTCCATTCCGATTTTTTTGCGAAATCCGATTTTTTCTTTATGTCGCGGTTCATATTTCCAAATATACGCAACTTGTATGTGATCTCCTGTGTGAACTGCAGACATACAACACAAGGGTCCCGCATGCGCAGTAGAGGACGCAATGACATCACAGGCCAGCGTGCTCTTTTTTTCCAGAAGTAAACATGGATGGTAGTGCTGGCACCCATCTAGTGGTCTTTTCCAACCATAAAAACAAATTCTTTTCAATATGTTTAAACATAAATACTGCTCTCCGCACCATCTTCTGCCATGGTTGTTGTTTTTCTTGCCGCTTCTGCATAGCAAGACGCAGAATAGGGACGTTTGTCGCGTATTAATGACGTTCAGGTCGGATGAATGCGACTTGGCCTTTCACACACAGGTCGCATTTGAATGGATTAGATCCGTATTGGATTCAGGACCACATAGCCAAGTGGCCTGGTTCGTATTGGAAAGAAATCTGATCTGTGTTGTTCAGACTGCCATGAAACGATCAGATTCAGGTCGCATGCGGGCAAAAAAATCGGATTTGGGTCACTTCAGGCTGCAGTGTGAACGTAGCCTAAATAGAAAGCAGCCCAGGTGGGACCAATCAGTGATCAACAGGAGATGGAGAGGTTGCACAAACAGGGTAGAACTAAATTCCTCACAGGCAACATGCAGTATATGCTCTATTTTTCATCCCGTAAATTCTTCTACTTCTCCTTCTGTTCAGTCGGCCTTCTATTTGTAGTCGAATAAATCACTGTGTTTCCATTACAAATTCTCTGCAAACTTTGCCGAGATTTTTTTAAGGTAAAAAAAAAAAAAAACAATATCCCAATTGCTGTGTTTGAAACATTTTTATTTAAAAAAAGCTAATAAAATCACACGTGCATACGTTTGTTTCCACTATGATTCATTAAAAACCACGCTAGAATATCATCCTCGTATTGCCTCCTGTCCTCTTCGTTTTTTTTTTCCATTAGTGATGTCTCGCTGGTGATGACATGATGCATGTGGTGTGAAAAATGTGTTTTGATCAGTTTTGCAAAACTGTGATTTCTTAGCGCAAAAAAATGTTTGCCGAAAAACATGCCCTTGTTTGTGCTTTTCTTTGAATTGGTGTTTTTCCATTACGCAAACATATTTTCATGATTACAGTTATTGCTATTTGTCAATGGAAACACAGCTGTACAGTACTCTCCTCAATGGAATGCTATGCCTAGAAAAATTGTATTTTGTCCTGTTACAGTCACAAACGGTGATATACTTCTGGGAGATTTTATTTAACGGGCAAGAAAAAGAAAGAAAATATAGTACATTGTAACTGTAGGAGCCTACTGACTGTTTGGCAGTATTACAAGCAGAAAGTAAAAGCTGTAGAAGTCACGTTTTGGATCTTTTAGCATGACCAACGCTCAGGTTGTAGTGCTGATGCAGCCCAATAGGATTTGTATAATAATTCTTGTTTCTTCAGGGCTTGATGTTTGGATATGCCACTGATGAAACTGAGGAGTGCATGCCTCTGACCCTCCTACTGGCTCATAAAATCAATTACAGGATGAGGGAGCTTTCACAGAACAAAGAGTGTCCTTGGATACTTCCAGACTCCAAGTCTCAGGTGAACTCTGCTGAAGAAAGCAGGTCCAGGTTTTTTATTGTATATGCTTTTTTTCTTTTACTGACCCTCTTGTCTGTTGTGCAGGTTACAGTGGAGTATCGAGACAGTGAGGGAGCTCTGGAGCCTCTGCGTGTCCACACTGTGGTCATCTCTGTGCAGCACAGTCCGGACATCACCCTGCAAGAGATTAGGCACAATCTGATGGAGAAGGTGGTGAAAGTTGTGATTCCTGCCAAGTATCTGGACGATAGAACCATCTACCATCTGCTGCCCAGCGGCAAATTTCTCATGGGAGGCCCACAGGTCAGCGACAGAGGAGAAAGTTGATCTTTTTTTTATTTTTTAAAGCCTACAAAGTGAGCTTTTCTTTTCTCGATCTAAAGGGTGACGCAGGCCTCACAGGACGTAAAATAATCGTTGATACCTATGGAGGCTGGGGCGGGCATGGAGGTGGAGCTTTCTCTGGAAAGGACTATTCCAAAGTGGATCGGTCGGGGGCGTATGCGGCACGTTGGGTTGCCAAGTCTTTGGTCAAAGCAGGGCTCTGCAAGAGGGCCCTTGTCCAGGTGAAATTTAACTCTGCCATCCCTTAATATCCTGTGTTCACAAGCATTCCTTGCTATTTATGATGACTAAACACTTTTGGGTGGACAGCATTCATTAACTAGGTTTTTCTGTCTGGTACTCCTCCTAGATCTCATATGCCATCGCCGTGAGTCATCCGCTTTCTGTCACCGTGTTTCACTACGGCACGTCGGACCGGGACGAGGAAGAACTGCTTCAGATTGTGCAGAAAAACTTTGACCTACGACCTGGAGTCATAGTGAGGTCTGTGAAGTCCCCTCCCCCCTTTCCCAAAATGTGTTACCCTTGAACTAAAAGGTCACACTGTGTCCTGTCTTCACAGAGAGCTGGGTCTGAAGAGGCCGATTTACCAGGCCACTGCATGCTATGGTCACTTTGGGAGAAAAGAGTTTCCATGGGAACAGCCAAAGAAACTTGTCTTTTAGCTCATCAAGTGTGATTGGTTATGGCCAAGGTCATTAACTCAAATGGTTTTAGTGTTCTTTGATTAGAAATGATATCACCATTTAGTATACAGCCATGAAACAATAAAAAGTGTTAAAAAAAATGACCAAACATTAAATTTTACTAAAGGTGAAGTGGAGCATCATCTTTATACAACATGAAAATGGTTCAGTCATTCTCTTTTCAATACACTACAAACGCTCAGATGTTTGTACTGTAATCTATGTATACAAATGTGTCTATTTATATCATACTTGCCAACATGGGGTTGTGAAAATAGGGAATGTTTTTTTCACCGATGTGTTGGCCCACAGGGTTATTACTTTTCATTTCTGGCCTTGTATTTTAAACCTAATCAAGGAACCTTATTCTGAAAATTGTGTTTCTTTGAAATTCAATTAGTGATTTTTATGGACAATGAAAAAAGCTGCTTTAATCATTAAAATGAATACCAGAAACTAAATAGGGTTGTTACTAAACTGGGTGATAAAACAGATTTTTACCATTACTGTCATTCACTGCGATAACCGCCGACATGAATAAAATAAATAAACTTAACTAACTTACAAGGGTGGCTGGTATTTCCTTCCGCTTTAAGACACTGCAGGCAGGTGTGTAATCATACCGATCCAGCCAGAAGCTCAAACAAAGAGAATGGCAGATGTGTCCAGTGAAGAAGCCTCTTACACAGCTGTAAACGAAATTACATCAGTTAATCGCGTGGAGCCCAGTGAGAGCAAAGAAGAGAAGAAGTCAAGCACACGTCAGAGTTGAGCGTGCAGCAGGCTGGTTTTGAGTGAGGTGCGAGTTTAAATGATGCACATTGTTCTCGCTGCACACTCAATTCTGTAGTAGCCTACCAAAATTACGCCATAGACGCTGTTGGGACTACCTAAAGTAACACATCCGACCTACACCACCTACCGCACAACCACGCTTTTGACTTTAAAGATGTGCAAAAGGCGCCATTACATTTGCATACAATTGTTTTCAAGAAAGGTAAAAATTTTTCTCCTGTTAAATGAGCAATGAATGTTTTTTATATATATTTTTAGATATTTTTTATACTTTGTATTCATCTTTTTTCCTACTGTACTGTTCACTGTGATGCAATGCTACAATTTCCCCACTGTGGGACAAATAAAGGATTATCTTATCTTATCTTATATTGCCCAGCCCTAGTAGCATTTAGGCTCAGTCCCATTCCTCTCACTTGGCTCTGCGAACCACCCAAGGTGCAGACCAGGAAGCAGAGTTGTAGTTTAACACACATCTCTGCAGCTTCTCTACTGTTACCCACTCTTTACTCCATCCAGACAGTGTCTTACCCACGACCAAATTCTAATAAATTAGCAAAGATTCCCAAATGAGTAAATCATGATAATCTAATTAACATTAAAATAAC